AAGGGAGGAACCTGGTGTCCATGTAGTATCAGAGAAAACATTTGGCTCTGAAAGCTCCGGGGAGAAACACATCTGCAATTTATTAATAACCAGAACCTGATCTGGCAGTGTCACCGGTTGGATTTCTGGCTCGGTGGGGATCACGGTGTGACCTGTGTGGTCTTTCTTAAGCCTTTTTAGGTATTTTTGAATAATGAGGCTCTTAAACCTCATGCAGGTTAAACCCTCTTCTCCTTCAGCTTTACTGAACCAGGGAAAGTCAAGGCTAATGAGAAGTGGGTGGAAAAATTGTCAGGAGAGGCAGTACCTGATTGCTCCCAGAACGCTGAGCTCTGTCGTGAGGAGGCAATAACCAGAGAACTCTTCCCGTGGGACGTCGCCAGTGCTGGAGTGGCTTCTGAGGAGTCTGATACAAACCTTCCCACAACTTCATTTCTCCTAATTTCTTTTTTAATTGATTTTTTTTTTTAAAGCTGAAAACATGGAAGAATGTATCATCCTGTCGTCCTACGTCCTGCACAATTCCTTGGCCTATGGGGCTGACTGGTCAAGGCTCAGTCCGAGGGATTCCTGGACCACAACACAGGACTCTGCTGCCGCGTGCCAATCTTCAGAGGAGCTCGTGGGAAGATCAGAGGAAGAAGATGAGAGATTGAATTTGCAGGTCCAAAACCTGAAGATAATTTACGAGTCTCCTACAGCTACTTTTGATGTAATACTGGATGAGGAGAGCGCAGGCCCTGCCGTGCCGCTCAGGGATCCTGGCCCGGTGAGGGGCTCTGGTTTAAAGGGGAGTCAAGATTTGGTGGGGGGCTCTGAGCGAGGGGGAGATCCCGAGTCAGCCAGTGGCTCTGGAGCCAAGAGACCCAGCGGGATGGGCCTGGGCAGCAGCGGGGACCCCGGCCGCGCTCTAGACAGCCCGAGAGAAACGAGCATTGTGGCAACTTGTTCTTTCTACGACAACATCCTCCACGTCTGGAAGTGGGAGATGAGCCTGGTGACCCCACCAGGTGCCACATCTCCATCTGAAAGAGCAGTTGGCACTTTGCATTGACCAGTCCCAAGGGAGAGGGGAGGAGAACTGTGTCCTGAGTGTGACAGCCGAGCTTACGCCCCGAGTAATGTCTGTCGGGCTTCTCCAGTTTTATTGTTGAGCTTGTTAAAGTCTTTTAAGGCCGATAGCGATGGGGTTGCTGGTGTTTTATTTCCAGCAGTGAGAGAAGCTTTTGTTTTGAGGCTCGTGGTCAAGCACAGACACGTTTACTTCGTTTTCCCCTTTCTGTTTGAATCCCTCCAAGGCTGGTTTGTGTTTTGACACCATTGATCTGTTAAGCCCGTTCTCCTCCTTCCATCACGAACCAAACGTGTCTGCGCTGCTGCGTGTAGACAAACAGTTTGTGGTCAGAGGTTCCCCTGTGAAGGTCTCAGGAAAGCCCAGGAGCAGAAGTTGAGCTGTGTGTGTCGTTTGCTGTGTGACCTGGAAACTAGGACGTGTCTTGAGAAGATGCTCAAAGACAGTCCAGATACTGACAGCGCAACGTGCTCGTAGTGATCTTTAGTAGAGAAGTTATTTTATTAGAAGGAAATCCAGCCTGAGCAGTAGGACAGACAATGTTTTGGTGACCAGGAGCTTTGTTCTAAGCTCAGGACCTTCCTTCTCAGGGTCCTGGTGTTATCTGCACAGCCTGATTTTTACATCAGGCTCATCACCTGGTTTCGGTCTCGCTTTAAGCACAACCTGGTGCAGCACAAATCGCGTGGCCAGGCCCCTGCTGTGTTTTAGCGCCACACTAACCACCCCACAGCCTCTTGCTGTCACTCTCATCATGTTTTCTGCTCTTCACACCGAGATGAACATTTAGGTCCAAAGTCAAGACCTTTTAGTTTTGTAAAGGTGAACAAACAGCTTTAAGATCAAAACCTCCAAAAAAAGTACAAGCAGATGTTTCCTGACATCATTTTTAAGTTCAAAATAAATAACAGAAACCAAAATCTTAACAGCATTTCCCCAACTACCTCCAGGACCGGCTGCAGAGTTCCTCACGGCTGCTCCATTAGCTTTCCTTTATTTTTCCACTGTGAATTTATCAGCAAAACACTTGTTTCTGGAACCACTTTGTTTATTATCTTCCTAGAAACAAGCAAACAAACAAAAAACCAGCTTAAAGTAGGTTAGGAACTTGGAACTTGCGTGGTTTCTCTTTGAGGGTCCTAAAGAATTAGTTGCCTGGAGGGAAGGAGAGGCACCAGCACCAGCATCAGCAGCAGCACCAGGCAGCTCTGTGTGACCTGTCCCAGGGCTGTGGCCAAAGCGAGGTACAGCCACCAGAACTGCTGCTTTGGGGCTCCTCCCTTGTTCAGGGGGAAAAGTGTATTTTTAGAAAACACTCTCCAGCGCTGTTCCCTGGAGATTCCTCATTCGTGTCATCAACCAGAGCTTTTGGTAAAACAAAGCGCCCTATTTTTGGATGTTTCTACAATAAAATCAATAGAAGTGAGTTCCCTTCCTTGGTCATCTGGATTTATTTTTTTTTTAAAAAGTCTTTCAGAGTTGGTCCCTGTGAGGATCTCCCGCCTCCTCTGTCGGTCTGTCCGGCTCGGTCTGTCCCAGGGTGTTTGGTGGTGGTGAATGTCCTTTGGGAACCTAGGGAAGGTGAGACAACGTGTTCCAGGCCAAGCTGGCAGTGGAATCGAAGGGGGTGGGATCTCCTGTTCTCCACCTCCTCAACCATGGGTTCCCTTAGGACAGGGAACTGCTGGAGAGAGTCCAGCACAGAGCCACCAAGATGATGAAGGGAGTGGAGCATCTCCCTGCTGAGGAAAGGCTGAGGGAGCTGGGGCTCTTTAGCTTGGAGAAGAGGAGACTGAGGGGTGACCTCATTAATGTTTATAAATATGTAAAGGGTGAATGTCAGGAGGATGGAGCCAGGCTCTTCTCAGTGATGCCCAATGGCAGGACAAGGGGCAATGGGTGTGAGCTGGAACACAGGAGGTTCTGCTTAAACTTGAGAAGAAACTTCTTTACAGTGAGGGTGCCAGAGCCCTGGGACAGGCTGCCCAGGGAGGGTGTGGAGTCTCCTTCTCTGGAGACATTCAAGACCCGCCTGGACACCTTCCTGTGTGATCTCATTGAGGTTCCTGCTCTGGCAGGGGGGTTGGACTGGATGATCTTTCGAGGTCCCTTCCAATCCCTGACATTCTGTGATTCTGTGAAACATCTGCACCTGGTTACTGTCCTTTCTGGAGAGCAGGAGAAGCAAATGACACCTCTGAGAGGAGCCAGAGCTGAAGGGAGAACACAACCACTTCCCCTAGAACCATTATTCTGAGGAGCTGAAAAATAAGTGGGGAAATTATTTTATGAATGAGAATTAATTTAATTAATTAGATAAACTGTGCCTTCCCCCACCCTCACTATGGATTCTCCAACCTCCAAAGTGTGCTCTGCCTGCTTCAGCTGTGGTGACCTGGGGCTGCAGCACTGCAATCCACCCCCCTCCCACCCTCCCAGCCCTGAAAAGATCTATTTTTTAAGGACTCATCTGTTAAATCTTCATTCCAGACCAAGAACACAGTGAACGTGCTTCCTGCCTCCAGAAATTAACAGTTTAATTGCAATTTAATTCTCTAATGCTTGAGCTTTGCAGGATTTTGGTGTCCCTGCTGCTGGCAGGGGGGTTGGAACTGGATGAGCTTTAAGTAGGACAGACAAACCCAAACCAGTCTGGGATTCTGTGGTGACTTTGTATTTGGAAAATCTCATGGAAAAAAAAAACAACAAACCCAAACCCCTGAGTACGTCCTGGGAGGGCTGGGAGTCCCCAGCCACAGACCTGCTTGCACAGAAACATCATCTCCTCAGCCTCCAGCCCTGGGTGTCACAGAAAACACTGTGATTATTTCCAAAGTCACTTGGCATTCAGCAGTTTGTCATTTCAGTGGTTGCACACAACTGGCCACGTCAGTGTCACCTGTATCTATTTAATCTGGTGAACAGGACATGGCTCGAGGAGGAATACATGGCCAAAAATAATCAATTATTGAGATCAGTTTCAAATTTAACCAGTTATCTGACAGCTTCAAGCAGCTGCACCGCTAAGGAGCGGGTATTAAATGTTCCCATTAACTGCATCTTCCTTTACTTTGAAAGTTTTAAGGGTTGGGGATGTCTGGAAAAAATGGTAGCACTGGCTACAAGCTACAGCTCTGCTCAGAGAGGGGGGTAGGGCACAGCCTTGGGTCTGCCTCTTGGAGGTCTCACTCCTGGTTTAGGGGACAGTTCCTTGGGGCTGGGGATGAACACATGGAATCCCCTCCCGGAAGGAAGGAAGGAAGGATGTTTCAGCAGCCTGGAGAGAAGCTGCTGATCAGCACCTGGACAATCAGCTCTTGTCTGAGAGCTGGACACCACAACTAACAGAGTGACAGCACGGTGGGGTTGGAAGGGACCTCTGGAGATCATCCAACCCCCCCTGCCAAAGCAGGCTCCCTACACCAGGTCACACAGGAAAGTGTCCAGGTGGGTTTGAACATCTCCAGAGATGGAGACTCCCCACCCTCTCTGGGCAGCCTGTCCCAGGGCTCCAACACCCTCACAGTGAAGAAGTTTTTCCTTCATTTTGTCTGGAACTTCTGCTGTCCCAGTTTGTGCCCATTGCCCCTTGTCCTGTCACTGGGCACCACCAAAAAGAGCCCTCACCAATCTCCCCACAGCAACTTCAATCAGACATGGCAGAAAGACAAAGCAGGGTTTGTTTTTAATCGCCAGTGACAGAAACTGTCCCGTGTTTGCTGGTGCCGGAGGTGCAGCCGCAGCCCCGCTGCTCCCCCCCTCCCTCCCGCCACCGCACATAGTTCTTGGGGAAGAGC